TAAGATGAAAAACAAAATCAGGATTATGTGGATCAATAAAACCTTTTGGTTGTGCTACATAAACTTCTTCCTGCAAAATACCATTAAAAAAAGCACTTTTAACATCCATTTAAAACAATTTGAATTTAAAGTGGCATGCAAGAACAAAAAGTAGTCGAATAGACTCAAGTCTAGCAACAGGTGCGAAAGTCTCATCAAAATCAATTCCTTCAACTTGAGTGTATCCTTGTGCAATTAACCTAACTTTATTCCTCATCACAAGACCATGTTCATCAAGTTTATTTTTAAAGATCCATTTGGTCCCTATGATATTAACATCACTAGGTTGAGGCACTAATTCCCAAACATCATTCTTCACAAATTGAAGCAATTCTTCTTACATAGCCATAAGCCAATCAGAATTTTGAAGAGCTTCATCAACATTCTTAGGTTCAAACTGAGCCATGTGATATGAGTGAACTATATCATCTACAATGCATGAATGTCCTACATCATCCCGGACTGTACTCCTAGTACCATGCTTATTCCAAGGACCTATCACATTATCAATTGGATGACTCAATCTAACTCTGGAACTGCTAGATGTGGGAATATCTAGAGACGGTGCAGGAACTCCTATAGGTTCATCAGTGGTAACCTCTAATTCCTCATCCTTATCTTCTTCAACCTCTTCACTTTTTCCTTCTAAATCCTCAACTCTTTCTTCTTCTTGAATATCAGGTACTTTCCTTTCTTCTGTAATTTCAAAATTAGTTTCTTCTTCATCAAGTTGAGAAGAGGTTATCTTAGATTTTGTATCATCAAATACAACATTTATAGACTCCATGACCACTTTGGTTCTAAGATTTTTTCCTATAAGCCCGACTAGTTTGTGAATAACCCAAAAACACACATTCATCACTTCTAGAGTCAAATTTTCCCAAATGTTCCCTATCTCTAAGGATATAACATTTACTTCCAAAGACTCTAAAGTATTTAACAGTGGGCTTTCTATCATACCACAATTCATATGAAATCTTGTTAGTTCCAGGCCTAAGATAAACTTTATTTAGGATATGACAAGCAGTACGTACCGATTCAGCCCAAAAGTGACTAGCAATCTTATTCTCCTGAAGCATAGTATGAGCCATACCTGCGATTGTCCTATTTTTTCTTTCCACTACACCATTCTGTTGTGGTGTTTTAGGTGCTGAAAATTCATGCTTAATGCCATTCTTATCACAATATTCAATAAACTCTTTAGGTTCGAATTCACCTCCATTGTCGCTTCTAATCCGATTAATTCGATATCCCTTCTCATTTTGAATAAGTTGACAAATAGACCTGAAATTCACAAAAGTATCAGATATGCAACAAAAGTAAACCTAGAAAAATCATCAACCATAACAAGCAAATATTTTTTTTCTCCAATGCTATCAGGTGTTATGCGACCCATCAAATCCATATGAATCAACTCTAAAGGTCGAGAAGTGACTTTATGAATAAGTCTCTTATGTGACACTCTAGTTTGTTTTCCTAACTGACATGGCCCACATATTTCATTCTTAGGCATCTTCAATTTAAGCAAACCTCGAACAAGATCATTGTTAGACAAATTCACTAAATCATTATAATTCACATGTCCAAGTCTTTTATGCCATAAAACAGCCTCATCAGTAACTGCAAAAAAACACATAAGTGAAGGATCTAAAAACACAACATAACAATTATCAGAAATTCTAGTTCCTTTCAAGATGCATTCACCTTTTTCATTAGTTACAAACACCCTTGTTGAGTAAAATTGACTTGAAACTCCTCATTACATATTTGACTAATACTCAACAAATTAGCAGCTAAACCTTTAACATATAGAACATTTTTTAACTCCCCAATTCCTAGAAATTTGATCTTACCTTTACCACTTACAGTAGAAGCCTTACCATCACCAAAAGTAACAGTACCAACTGAGCATTCCTTAAATGTGGTAAATAATGTTCTATCCCTGTCATATGCCTACAGCAACCACTATCAAAGTACCAACCACATGGACCAAGTGCTCTAAGTGCAATGTGCATGGCAAGGCATTTAAAATTCTCTTTCTTTACCCAAACAATTTTTGATTCATTATGCAATGATTTTCCTATTATTCTAGACAAAGTGTCACAAGGCTCAACAATCCTAATCTTCTTCTTCCTCAATTTTAAACTCTCTAGATTTTTCAAATTCTTTCCTAGTTCAATTTTTCTTTTCTGACACTTATACTTGATATGTCCTTTTTCACCACAAAAATGACATGTTGAAATAAGTTTAGGAGAATTAAAAATAACACAAGGTTTGGTTTCAACTTTCACAAAAATATCTTTTGATTTTTTAAAATACAGATCCTTTGAAATTAATGCCAAATCTTTGTTACTCATAACATTCCCAACCACACCTTTCAACTTATCTATTTTGCAAGTGTCAATATCAATTTTCTGAAACGACTGTTTTAATTTAACAAATTCACTACTAAAATTATCAATTTTAAGTTCCAGTGATTTATTAAACAATTTTACCTTCTTAAGTTCTTTTTCCAGAAAATCAATCTTATGAAGAAAATTCAAATTCTTAAGGCTAATTTCTTCCAAATTCTTATTAGAGACAGAAACTTCTAACTTATAAATATCTCTATCAAGTTCAGCAAGATTCAATTTCTCTAACAAATTTTCAAAATCCTTTTTAAATTTTGACCATTCACTTTGCATGCTTCTGAAAGAATAAAAAATAGGAGATAAAGGCAACACATCAACAGATAAATTTTCAGACATGATGCAAAAATCAACAATTAATCAACAAATACGATCAACTCAGTATATTGAGTTACCCGCTCTGATGCCAAATTGTAAAACAAGAGTTACGCAACGTGCGGAAACAGTTGATTTTAATTGTGATTAACTCCTTTAATGACCTAGATCTGATTATTAGGTTAACTTGCTTAATTTATGATTGATTAAATTGCATGATCAATTAAACATCCACAATCATAAATATAAATACTGAAAAGTAAAGCAAGTTAAGTTTAGAGAGATTGCACCAGGATTTTTAGTGAGGAAACCCCAATTGATAAAATACGTCAACTGTTATGGGAAAAACCTCGTGGATTATGCAGTCCAAAGTAAACCAATCCACTATGTTTGAAACGAAGTATACCGAACTTTGACTCTGTCTTACACCCTATCGTTCTACACCATACCAACCGTTGACGATCTTTTGGCTTTGCGGCTCCCCGTCCAACAGCAACTTGATCTCAGGCTTACACTTGATATTTATAGAAGAGTAGCAGGTAGATCAGACAGCACTCCACGAATGCTCCAACCCTTTCAAAGTGTGATAGCGTTTACTTCTATTCTTTATGATCTGAACTCGATTGTAGAATAATTAAATCCTGCTTCTCATCTGGAATATCTGAATCTTTAGTATAGCTCCAATTCCAATGAGATACAGAACAACACCACTAAATCACTCATGAATATATGTGCATGCTCTCATAAATAAATTCAGAATAATCAGATTTGATTTTCTGAATTTTCTCTCTCTAGAAGGCTTTCTCAAAATATAGAATTGATTTTCCCTTAAGCCCTCATGAACCAATGTATATGACAAGGTTTATATAGAGTTTTGAAAGTCCTAATCCCTCAGAAAATATGATAAATTTTGTGCATAAGACTTAAAAGGAAGCTGGGATCAAAAGGAAACATCAGAAGAAGGAAACTGGAAACCTGATGCATCTAGGACTTCTTGAACCGGTTCAAGATAGCCAGTAAGGAATCCCACGGATTCTTGAACCGGTTCAGCCCTCTTGAACCGGTTCAAGATGGTCAGTCTTGAAAATTTTAGAATTCTGATGTAGATGAACCTGTTCGATAGATCTTGAACCAGATCAAGATGGACAGAATGTAAAACCTTGTTCCGAACCTTTCAAAACCCTTCCTAAATGTTCTCACTACCTCTCAAAACTTCTTATAGTGTTGTTCTAATCATCTCGGAGTGTAGTATACCATGAACACTTGACCTTCTTCAAATCCGCATCCGATCTTTAATCTTTCAAATTTCGTATTGAAAAATTACAACTCGATCGAACTTGTTTTGACATCGAAATTAGCCAATTACAAAATATATCGTACACTTTGTAGGTGTAATTCCTGTGGAGATGGGTAATCTTCCACGTCTGGAAATATTGAGCTTTCAAAATGGCTCTCTAACAGGCCCCATTCCATCTACCATCTTCAACATTTCTTCTTTGAGAAGAATTGATTTCACAAATAATAGTCTATCTGGAAGTTTGTCGGTAGATATGTGCATCCATCTTCCTAAACTTGAAGGATTCTATCTTTTTAGGAATCGGCTTCATGGGCAAATTCCGTCCAGTTTATACAAATGCAGGGAGCTCCAATATTATTTGTCATTATCATTCAATGGCCTCGTTGGAAACATACCTAGAGAAATTGACAAACTGACTATGCTCAAGAAGTTATAACTTGGTAATAACAACTTGAAAGGTATGATTTTACGTTCACCTCCGACCCAAGACTATGTAGTTTTGATATATATATATATACCTTCTATTGAAGGTGATTCCCTTGCTAATTGTTTAACCATATCATGTATAACACTAGATCGATTGATAGGACTTGTAAGTTTCCTTCTTTATTATTGAGTTTGTTTTTCTTTTTGTTAGATGTAAAAGGTATTCTATAATTACTTGTGAGCATCAAAACAAGGAATTCAGGTCTCGGGATCGATTCCTTCTAATTGCAAACAATTTCTTATAGATCACGCCCAAAAATATAGTTACCTGATTTCGAAGGAGCTTGTACAAGTCTTGTGGATTAGTTTGGGAAAAACCTTGGACATCCCAATTATCACAAAAAAAATGTTTTTATTGCGTAATTATATATTCATTACAAACATACTAGTACAACAAAGGAGAAAATTATATATGTGTTCCATCTAATTACTTTGCAAGTGTAATTCCTGTGGAGATGGGTAATCTTCCACATCTGGAAATACTGAGCTTTCAAAATGGCTCTCTAACAGGCCCCATTCCATCTACCATCTTCAACATTTCTTCTTTGAGAAGAATTGATTTCACAAACAATAGTCTGTCAGGAGGTTTGCCGGTAGATATGTGCATCCATCTTCCTAAACATGAAGGACTCTATCTTTTTGGGAATCGGCTTCATGGGCAAATTCCATCCATTTTATACAAATGCAAGGAGCTCCAATATTTGTCATTGTCATTCAATGGCCTTGATGGAAACATACCTAGAGAAATTGGCAAACTGACTTTGCTTAAGGAGTTATATCTTGGTAATAACAACTTGAAAGGTATAATTTTAAGTTCACATTCGACCCAAGAGTTTGTAGTTTTGATATATATATATACCTTCTATTGAAGGTGTTTTTCTTGCTAATTGTTTAACCATATCATGCATAACACTAGATCAATTGATAGGACTTGTAAGTTTCCTTCTTTATTTTTGAGTTTGTTTTTCTTTTTGTTATATGTAAAGGGTATTTTATAATTACTTGTGAGCATTAAAACAAGGAATTCAAGTCTCTGGATCGATTCCTCCTAATTGTAAACAATTTCTTATGAGTCATGCCTACAAATATAGTTACCCGATTTCGGGAGAGCTTGTATAGGTCCTGTGGATTAGTTAGGGAAAAACCTTGGACATCCCAATCATCAAAAAATATATATATTTTCTTTTATTGCGTAATTATATATTCATTACAAACATACTAGTACAACAAGGGAGAAAATTATATATGTGTTCCTTTTAACTACTTTGCAGGTGTAATTCCTTTGGAGATGGGAAATCTTACACATCTGGAAATATTGAGCATTCAAAATGGCTCTCTAACAGGCCCCATTCCATCTGCCATCTTCAACATTTCTTCTTTGAGAAGAATTAATTTCACAAACAATAGTCTGTCTGGAAGTTTGCCGGTAGATATATGCATCCATCTTCCTAAACTTGAAGGGCTCTATCTTTTTAGGAATCGGCTTCATGGGCAAATTCCATCCAGTTTATACAAATGCAGGGAGCTCCAATATTTGTCATTGTCATTCAATGGCCTTGATGGAAACATACCTAGAGAAATTGGCAAACTAACTATTCTCAAGGAGTTATATCTTGGTAATAACAACTTAAAAGGTATGATTTTACATTCACATCTGACCCAAGAGTTTGTAGTTTCGATATATACCTTCTATTGAAGGTGTTTCCCTCGCTAATTGTTTAACCTTATCATTCATAACACTAGATCGATCGATAGGACTTGTAAGTTTCTTTCTTTAATTTTTAGTTTGTTTTTGTTTTCTTATATATAATTAAAAGGGTGTTCTATAATTACTTGTGAGCAGCAAAACAAGGTATTCATATCATCAAGTCTCAGGATCGATTCCTCCTAATTGCAAACAAATTTTTAGGACCACACCTATAGATTTAGACCAAGCTTTACCCGATCCCAGAGGAGTTTGTACAAGTTCTGTGAATTAGTCAGGGAAAAGCCTTGAACATCCCAATTATTGAAAAAATAAATAAATAAATAAATTTGTTTTTATTGCGTAATTATATAATCATTACAAACATACTAGTACCACAAGGGAGAAAATTATATATGTGTTCCTTCTAACTACTAATTTGCAGGTGTAATTCCTTTGGAGATGGGTAATCTTCTACGTCTGGAAATATTGAGCTTTCCAAATGGCTCTTTAGCAAGCCCCATTCCATCTACCCTTCTTTGAGAAGAATTGATTTCAGAACAATAGTCTGTCTGGAAGTTTGCCGGTAGATATGTGCATCCATCTTCCTAAACTTGAAGGACTCTATCTTTTTCGGAATCGGCTTCATGGGCAAATTCCATCCAGTTTATACAAATGTAAGGAGCTCTAATATTTGTCATTGTCATTCAATGGCCTTGAAGGAAACATACCTAGATAAATTGGTAAATTGCCTATGCTCAATGAGTTATATATTGGTAATAACAACTTGAAAGGTATGACTTTACATTCACATCTAACCCAAGAGTTTGTAGTTTTGATATATACCTTCTATTGAAGGTGTTTCCCTCGTTAATTGTTTAACCTTATCATTCATAACACTAGATCGATCGATAGGACTTGTAGGATTTCTTCTTCAATTTTTAGTTTATTTTTGTTTTTGTTTTGTTATATATAATTAAAAGGGTGTTCTATAATTATGTGTGAGTTGCAAAACAAGGTATTCATATCATCAAGTCTCAAGGTCGATTCCTCGTAATTACAAACAAATTTTTAGGACCACGTCTATAAATTTAGACCAAGCTTTACCCAATCCCGAATGAGCTTCTACAGGTTCTGTGAATTAGTCAGGGAAAAGACTTGGACATCCCAATTATTAACATAAAAAAATAAAAAATAAAAAATAATAAAATAATAAAAAAATTTGTTTTTATTGCGTAATTATAAAATCATTACAAACATACTAGTACAACAAGGGAGAAAATTATATATGTGTTCCTTCTAACTACTATTTTACAGGTGTAATTCCTTTGGAGATCGGTAATCTTCTACGTCTGGAAATATTGAGCTTTCAAAATGGTTCTCTAAGAAGCCCCATTCCATCTACCATCTTCAACATTTCTTCTTTGAGAAGAATTGATTTCAGAAACAATAGTCTGTCTGGAAGTTTGCCGGTAGATATGTGCATCAATCTTTCTAAACTTGAAGGACTCTATCTTTTTCGGAATCGGCTTCATGGGCAAATTCCATCTAGTTTATACAAATGCAGGGAGCTCCAAAATTTGTCATTGTCATTCAATGGCCTTGATGGAAACATACCTAGAGAAATTGGCAAACTGATTATGCTCAAGGAGTTAAATCTTGGTAATAACAACTTGAAAGGTATGATTTTATATTCACATCTGACCCCAAGAGTTTGTAGTTTTGATATATACCTTCTATTGAAGGTGTTTCCCTCGCTAATTGTTTACCCTTATCATTCATAACACTAGATCGATCGATAGGAATTGTAAGTTTCCTTCTTTAATTGTTAGTTTGTTTTTGTTTTGTTATATATAATTAAGAGGGTGTTCTATAAGTACTTGTGAGCAGCGAAACAAGGTATTCATATCATCAAGTCTCAAGATTGATTCCTCCTAATTGAAAAAAAAAAAATTATTTTTATTGCGTAATTATATATTCATTATAAACATACTAGTATAACAAAGGAGAAAATTATATATGTGTTCCTTCTAAGTTAACTACTAATTTGCAGGTGTAATTCCTTTGGAGATGGGTAATCTTCTACGTCTGGAAATATTGAGCTTTCAAAATGGATTTCTAACAGGCCCCATTCCATCTACCATCTTCAACATTTCTTCTTTAAGAAGAATTCATTTAAGAAACAATAGTCTATCTGGAAGTTTGCCGGTAGATATGTGCATCCATCTTCCTAAACTTGAAAGACTCTATCTTTTTCGGAATTGGCTTCATGGGCAAATTCCATCCAGTTTATACAAATGCAGGGAGCTCCAATATTTGTCATTGTCATTCAATGGCTTAATGGAAACATACCTAGAGAACTTGGCAAATTGACTATGCTCAAGGAGTTATATCTTGGTAATAACAACTTGAAAAGTATGATTTTACATTCATATCTGACCCAAGAGTTTGTAGTTTTGATATATACCTTGTATTGAAGGTGTTTCCCTCACTAATTGTTTAACATTATCATTCATAACACTATATCGATCGATAGGACTTGTAAGTTTCCTTCTTTAATTTTTAGTTTGTTTTTGTTTTGTTATACTGTATATAATTAAGAGGGTGTTCTATAATTACTTATGAGTAGCGAAACAAGGTATTCATATCATCAAGTCTCAGGATCGATTCCTCCTAATTGACAAAAAAAAAAAAAAAAATTGTTTTTATTGTGTAATTATATATTCATTACAAACATACTAGTACAACAAGGGAGAAAATTATATATTTGTTCCTTCTAACTACTAATTTGCAGGTGTAATTCCTTTGGAGATGAGTAATCTTCTATGTTTGGAAATATTGAGCTTTCAAAATGGCTCTCTAACCGGCCCCATACCATCTACAATCTTCAATATTTCTTCTTTGAGAAGTATTGATTTCAGAAACAATAGTGTGTCTGGAAGTTTGCCGGTAGATATGTGCATTCATCTTCCTAAACTCGAAGGACTCTATCTTTTTCAGAATCGGCTTCATGGGAAAATTCCATCCAATCTAAACAAATGCAGGGAACTCCGATATCTATCATTGTCATTCAATGACTTCAATGGCAGCATACCTAGAGAAATTGGCGAACTGACTATGCTCAAGGAGTTATATCTTGGTAATAACAACTTCAAAGGTATGATTTTACGTTCACATCTAACTAACAAGTAAGTAGTCTTTATATATATATATATATATATATATATATATATATATATATATATATTCCGTGGTGAAGAAATTCCATAAGCAGAATAGAAAGTTGATAAAGTTGTATTGGAAGTTGATAAAGTTATATAAGAGTTTCTCTTGCTAACTATTCATAACACTAGGTAAATAGGACTTGGTTTTATTTTTTTTACTTTATTTTCAATGATTAATTGTACATGTGATTTTTTTTGTTATATGTAAGGGGTGTTTTAAATGTTATTGTGTGCATTAAAACAAGGTACTCATATCATCTGTGACAATTATATATGTATTGTTGCTTTTGACAACTTTGTAGGTGTAATTCCGTCAGAGATAGGCAATCTTCAACATTTGGAAGTAATGAGCATAATCAATAACTCTCTAACAGGGTCCATCCCATCTTCAATCTTCAACATTTCTTCTTTGAGAATAATTAATTTCTCAAACAATAGGCTAACTGGAAGTTTGCCAGTAGATATGTGCAACCATCTTCCTAAACTTGGTAGACTTTTTCTCTATAGGAATCAGATTGAAGGGCATATTCCATCCAATTTACACAAATGTGGGGAGCTCCATGATTTATCATTGTCATTCAATGGCTTTACTGGCATCTTACCTAGAGAAATTGGCAACTTGACTATGCTCAAAGTGTTAAATCTTTGCGAAAAAAACTTAAAAGGTATGATTTTAAGTTCATTTCTAACTCATTTAGTAGTTTTGATATATACTTCATGTGGAGAAGAAATTCCATAAGCATGATGGAAAATTGATGAACTTGTATAGGACTTTCCCTTTCTAGCTAATTGTTCAACCATATCATGCATATCACTAGCTATTTATGTCTTGTAGGTTTCTTCTCTATTTTATTATTCTTTTCAGTGAGTGTATATGGGAAGATTTTATTTCATTTCTTCTGCTATATAAAAATGGTATTCTAAATATACTTGTGAGTAAAACTATGAGTTGCGCGGTATGGAAGTGGTGTGAAAAGTTTGATTTGAAACAAAAGTCTGACGAGCCCCTTTCCAAGTGTTTAGAAAATGGACTTTTTAATGCGAGAGGTCGCTTCGCAAGGTCAAAATATGATTGTGGTTTAGGAAGCCTTTCAAGTCAAATTTACATTTATAAAACCACTACTACAACTAATGAAGTATAGCAAGTAGGGATCGTCCACAGAGATTATACGTGTTGGAATTTAACTTCGACTCTAATGTATCAATTGATTGCAAAAGATAGAGATTGGTTGATTAAACTAAGATACAAGAAAATTAAAATGTAATTAAAATAAACTAGTGAGAGATAGGGATTTAAGAGATATGAAGAGAGGTCTTAGGGTGTTGGAATCATCACTAAGCTCATGTAATTAACCATTTGCTTTTCATTAATGGGAAATACATTGTTGTGAACAAAATGCGACTACCAATTGCAATATTAAGCATGGACAATCAAATTAAAGAATGAATTGTCTACCTAACCGACAAATAAACTAAGTGTGGAACAACCCATCAAATCTAAACATGACCCATCAAACTAGTCATAATTGTAGCACACATCAATGTAAAGAATCATGGAATTTGCAATAATAAGTCATGGAATATCAAATCAAGTAAAGATTGTCTACCTACCTATAAGCATGAATTAAATTATAGAACAACCCATCAAGCATAAGTATAATCCATCAAATTAATTGACAAACCCATTCAATGAAAACCCATGCTTAGCCATCACTAAATCCTTAATTAATCACACATAGACATGCAACCAACATAGAGAATCTAGTGTAGAGATCAATTCCCAAACAATCACACATAAGATAACATGTAATCAAATAGAGAATCAATATAAAGAATTAATCCATCTAAATCATGTAAGAAATAATTCCTAATTTAATCACACATAGACATGTAAATAAACTAGAGAATTGATAGGAAGAATTAAACCATAGAAATCATAGAAATATACCAAGATTCATTAAATTCACAAGGATAGAATACTAATCACAACAATATATATAAATCCCCAAAAATAGAAATACAAGGGTTTAGATTACACAAGACTTAGGGCTTATCCAAGCCCTAAGTGTAGATCTAGCCAATCATGGAGGAGGTAGATGTGGTCATGAAACCCTCAAGGGTAAGCTCCAAACATGGCTCCATCTTCTTCTTCTTCTTCTTTGAAGCTCTAGAGAGAGAGAGTGAAAGGATCTAGAGATGTGTTCTTGAGATGTGCCTCCACTTCCCTCTTCTCTTCTAACCCTAAACTCTAACTTTCTAGAGAGAAAAAAGTAATGAAAATATAGAAATTACAATGAAAATATATGAATCTCTACAAAAATGGTTGAATCCCTCTTACATACAAGGTTTTGAGAGCCCAAAAATGTGAGAACTCGGCCCTAGAATCTTTCCTTACAAGTTCTGCCTGAGTTAGTTCGAAATGAGCTTCAGATCTGCTTTTTAATAACTTTCGCAAACAGTTCAATCGATCAGAGTTTTATCGATCTCAAAATAAGTTCCATCGATTATAAAAAGTTCGATCGATCAGAAATAAGTTCGATCTATCCAACTTGGCAGTTTTTCAGCATCAGCCTCCTTTTGCTCCAAATTCTCATTAAGACGTAGTTGACTCCAAAAAGGCCTTAAGAAACCATTTTTAACCCATTTTAACATTATTGACTTGAAATAGACAAAAACACAAATAAGTACTAAAACGGGTAAATAAAGATAGATAAATGGACTAAAATACCCTCGCTTAAGGGGTTTAAATGAGCACTTTTCAGCGCTCATCAAAGTCCAAGAGAAGTTGAATAAGTTAGGTTTGTTCTTTTGATTATTTTTTTTTATTAATGTTATTTTATTGAATTAAAGCTAAACCAATCACAAAATAATAAAAATTATATAGCTAAAGTAAATAAAGTTAGAGATGACATCAGAAATTTTTTTTTCTTTTTTTTTAAAACGTAAAAAGAACCTCAACAAGGAAAAAATCACGGAATCTAGTTGTCTCTGTCAAACGGATCCACCATCTCGAAACAGTGTTATACAAATCCTATGTGAGCCTCACATCCACTTCTTAACCAAGAACTACTAGCTGGACATCCCAGGCTAACTCCTATGAGTCTTCATCAAGATGGTTGGACTACATGCAGTCTTATTCCTCAATTCTTGCAGACGGTTGCTTGAAGAACATGAATCCCTTTGTAGTGAGTGGATCACTTTCCTTGCAATCACGAAGTTGAAAGGAAAAATAAAATCATAATCTAATCAAACAAGATAATCCATAGATAACTTTATAGTGTTGATCAGATAACAGGGATAGAGTGAGGAAATTGTGTGAGGGGGGCGATAGTGTAATTTTCTAATAATTCCAGTTGGGGAGGTAGTGTAATTTTGTAGGTATATAAATCAAAATTGTAAATTAATAGGGTATATTACTATAAAAAAAATAAAAAATAATAAAAATAAAAAATAAAAAATCAGTGAGGGACAGTGTGAATGGCTCCATCCCTGTCAAATAAAGAACACCATCCTAATATCACTCACGTATATAGTGTGTGCTCTCAAATAAAAAAAAAAACTGATGCATAACAGATTGTTAAAGATTTTGGAACCTGTTTGGACCGTCAAAAGGTCAAATAGGTGGGCTGGCCCAGTTTTTTTTAGATGATTTCAACGAATCAATTTTTTTATTCCGATAGGGCGTCTTTTGGCCGAATTCAATCGTTTAAAGCTCGGGAATTGCGTTTTCCCAATTTTGAATATTTCAAAATTTTCGTTAGAAGACTAAACAGATTCGAACTTCTTTTTTTTTTTTTTTTGTGTGTGTGTTTTTCATATATATGGAAAAAAAATTAAAAAAATTAACACATATTATAGAAGGCGGTGGGCCAGGCCAGGGGACACGTGCCTCCCCCGGCCCTTCATTGGCTCCGTCCCTGCATTTATCAATATAATGTCAGATTCCTTTGCGAAATCTCTTTTTCCTTGTGGATTCAAGGCACCCTCATTCAAGGCACCCTTGAGGAGTCAAGATAAGCCTTAGTAAAAAATAATTAGTTGATTATTATGTCAAAAACTCACTCCAAAGCTCTAAGAATTAAAGATAAAATGTCTCTTTAATGCAAGTAGAGCTGGAGAAAAGAAGAATTTTTATAGACTAGAGAGTCCAAATCAAAGTAGGAAAATGAGTTTTAAATTTTTATTGGACGTCCTTAGATTTGGTTGAAAAATGAATAAAAAATCAATTGAAAAACATAGAGTTCCAAGAGTATTATATATATTTGGTAGAGAAGCAGAAAATGGGTGGATTTTCTACTTCGAAACCATATAAAAGGACTGAACTATATGTATAGTGACTCATAAATAAAATAGTACAAGTATAATGCAATGATAACTATAAATAGATAGATGTAGTTATGCAAATTTGATTTTTTCCAATATTTGCGGTTAATACTCTTTTGCAATTCAATTTTATACAATTGATCCCTTCTATAAGAGGCTATATTGATTTATACTTTTACTCTTATTTAGATTACTAAAAATCAATATCATATAAGTTTTCCCTGCTTGATCATCTTAAAGCTTGATTAATAATGCTAGGGTGTTCATGTTGTGAATGGCAAGTACTTTACCAAATGAGATTGGTAACCTTAATCTCGAGAGACTTGATGTCTTTGGAAACACCTTAACTGGCACCATTCCGTTCAAAATATTCAATGTGTCGACAATGAAAATCCTTAACCTGGGATTTAATAACTTTTCTGGCAATCTTCCTTTAGACATTGGGTTTTGGCTTCTGAATCTTGAAGGGCTTTACCTATTAATGAACAAACTCAGCGGAACAATCCCGAGCTCTATCTCTAATGCTTCTAAGCTTACCATCATTAGCATGGGCATCAACTCATTCACTGGACCTATACCCAACACACTTGGTAGTTTAAGACTCTTGCAAAGGCTCTCCCTTCATACAAATAGTTTGGCTGGGGAGTCTTCTACTCCGGAGTTGAAAATTTTCTCTTTTTTAACAAATTATAGACAATTGGAGGAATTGGGCATAGCATTAAATCCACTAAACGGCATACTTCCAATGTATGTCGGGAATTTGTCTACTAGACTATAAGTGTTTGATGCATTTGGCAGCAAAATTAAGGGCAACATTCCCAGTGGAATCGGCAATTTGAGCAACTTGGTAAGCCTACGATTAGGAAGCAAACATTTGACTGGACCAATTTCGAATCACTAGAGAGATTACAAAATCTCGTACGTTTGCATCTTCAAAACAATGCATTGAAAGGATCCATCCTGGATGAATTCTGTCGGTTGGGGAAATTGAGAGAATTGTCTGTGAGTGATAATATGTTGTATGGACAGATTCCGACATGCTTGGGTGAGCTTAAATCTCTAAGATGGCTCTACCTTGACTCCAACAGATTAAGTTCCAAGGTACCGTCAAACTTGTGGAGCCTTGAAGACCTTTTGGGTCTTAACCTATCCTCAAACTTTCTAACTGGTGAGCTACCATTGTCTGTCAGAAACTTAAAGGTCATAACCCTAATTGATTTGTCAAGGAATCAATTATCAGGTACAATCTCAAACACCATTGGAGGAGCTCAGTCGTTAGTTTCTCTCTTGTTGTCCCACAATAAAATACAAGGACCTATTCCTCAATCACTAGGTAACCTCATAAGCTTGGAATTATTGGATCTATCTAGTAACAATTTGTCTGGAGAAATTCCCAAGTCCTTAGAGGCACTCAAGTATCTAAAATATTTGAATGTTTCTTTCAATAGATTGCAAGGAGAAATTCCTACTAGAGGACATTTCCCTAATTTTACAGCTCCATCGTTTATGCATAATGATGCACTTTGTGGTGAACCCCAACTGCAAGTTCCCCCGTGTAAAACCAACAAGAATGGCCGATCAAGGTTAAAAATTGTACCCATGCTGATTGCATTAGCATTTCTTGTTATGGCCCTCATATATTTGTTGAAAATAAATCGAAAACAAAAGATTGAATTGCATACCGAGGAAGATATATCACCTTTTGCATGGAGAAAGGTTTCGTATTAGGAAATTTTACAACCGACAGAAGCATTCGGTGAAACCAACCTAATAGGCATGGGAAGTTATGGTTCAGTATATAAAGGAACGCTTTTGGGTGGGATGAATATCGCAGTGAAGGTATTCAATTTGCAACTAGAAGAAGCTTTCAAGAGTTTCGATGTCGAGTGCGAAGTAATGCGTAACATTCGTCGTCGAAACCTAATTAAAATCATCAGCAGTTGCAGCAACATGGATTTCAAAGCCTTGGTACTAGAGTACATGTCTAATGGGAACCTCGAGAAGTGGTTGTATTCTCATAACTATTGTTTGGACATTCTACAACGGTTAAACATAATGATAGATGTCGCGTCAGCATTACAATATTTACATCACGATCATGCAACACCTATTATTCACTGTGATTTGAAACTAAGCAATGTCCTCCTTGATGAAGACATGGTTGCACGTGTTGCTGATTTTGGGATTACAAAACTTTTAGGTGACGGAGATCTAATGGTACAAACCATGACCTTGGCAACAATCGGGTATATGGCACCAGGTGATGTTTGTTAATTCAATTTTCAGTTTTTCCTATTTATTTTATGAACTTATGTGGTCCTTTTCCTTAATTAGAATCTTTTTTCATTATTTTTTTTTCTAATTAATAATGTTGATGTGGTGCATAGAGTATGGAATTGAAGGAAGAGTATCAACAAAATGTGATGTCTATAGTTATGGTGTCTTGTTGATGGAAACATTTTCAAGGAAGAAGCCGACTGATGAAATGTTTGCCGGAGAGGTGAGCTTGAAGCGTTGGGTGAAAAAAACATTAGAGGGTTCGATAATTGAAATTGTGGACACCAATTTGATAAAAAGAGATAATGAAAATTTCTCTCCTAAGGTGGAATGTGCATCATCTATCTTTCGTTTGGCCATGGATTGTTCCAATGATTCAGCTAAGGAAAGGATCAATATGATTGATGCTTTGGCCACACTCAAGAAAATCAAAACCTCTTTTCTAGCAAATATTGGTACCAGCTAGAAAGATGAAGCAATCAAGATTAACATGTATCGTTTTTAGTAGTATTTTGTACTTCTCATATTTTTCTCTCTAATAATTTAGGTCCGCTTTGAAACAATTTTTCTTGAGAGAAATGATGTTGAAGATCATGTTATAATCCATGTGTCGTGAATAATTCAAAATTTGCATCCTTAATTTAAACTCATTTATGAGTCAACCTTCGAGGCTACATCTCGATCTATACACTAACCCACTCTCTTCTCTCTTCACCCACTCAAACCCCTCTCTAGAATCCTGCAATCTGATAAAGGCTAAGTCACACTCTAACATATATGCCCAAATCATTCTCCATCGATTCGATGTGGGATAAACTCCATCTAACAACTAACATAGATGTAACTTAAGTATTTACGTACTAGAAGGTATGATATTTTCTTTTTTTAAAAGTTGAAGCGACTACCCATGCACCCACATGCAATTTTGCCTTTAGTGGGGATCGAACTCTCAACTCTTCTTTCGAGAGGGAGATTATATCATCTAGGTTACTGTCCATTAGTTACAACTTACGATGCATATTTACATAAATACATACCTTGGAATTAGCATATTATGCACAAATACATTTAGTTGTTACATTTATTAAATAGCTTTTTTTTTACAAACCAAACTTTCATCATGGACTACATATTTTCCAGAGACTAATGAAAAGAAATATATTACAAACACAAGAAAGAAAAGGAAAATATAATGATCACATTTCTAATCCACCAATGCCAATTAGCTTAGTCAATCCAAAAGTAATCTCCATGGCCATGCATCCTCCAATTAGCACCCTAGCACAGGACTTCACCACAGGAGTCCTCCCCAGCACAACTCCAACCCCTCCAAACACCACCAATGCCAAGCTACTACAGCCACCACCACACCCATCCTCACCTTGTTGTCGTGTATAAATGCAGCAACAAGCAATGGCACTAAGGACCCGAGTGAAAACGCAAGCGTGGATGCTAAAGCTGCTTGCATTGGATTAGGCAGTTTTTCCTTCTGTATCTCTTGTACTACTACTTCTTTATCTCCCATCCCTCTCCTCTTCTCTCTCTTCATTTGAGCCACCTCTATGTCCAGTTGAGAGTATACTGTTGAATATTGTGGACCCATGACATCAGTAAGTGCATCACCTATCTCATCATCAACTTGGCTCCAAAGAATTGTGATCAGCAAGCCAGCCTATGCTTAGTCTCCAAGTTCACAAACAGTGATGACATTTTGGCTATAAATAGCCTTGCTCCCATGGTGTTTTAATCATCCCAAAATTTAACTGTTTACTTAATATCAAGCAAAGCAAAGTGTGTGAGAGTCTTGGGTGTAATTTAAGTTTTAGGTGTGAGCCACTTAACCTTGTATCTCTATATTTCTATAATGAAATATTAATTTGTCTTCTCCCCGTGCATGTAGGCATAGCCAAACCACGTACATCCTTGTCTTGTTTGTGTGTGAACTATTTTATTATTATTTTTTTCTTATCATTATTTTTCTCTTGTTCTCATAAACTCTTATTCGATCCTTATTTCATAACAAACTAGTATCAGAGCTCGGTTCGTGTATTGTGTACAGATACTGTTCATGCATATGGTATTATTCACAGATACTTTTTAGGTACTGTTCACAAATACGGTACTATTCACCAAGAAATATTTTTTGGGGAGTTTTTTTGAGATGTCGACCAGATATGAAATTGAGAAATTTGATGGCAAGATTAGTTTCAGTCTTTGGCGTATCAAGATGCAGGCCTTGCTGACTCAGCAAGGTCTAAAGAAGGTGTTATTCGGGAAGAACAAGTTGTCAGAAACTATGTCCAATAAAGACAAGGATGAGGTCGATGAAAAGGCGCGTAGTGCGATTCTCCTGAATCTAGCCGATGAGGTGCTACGCGAAGTTATTGATGAAGACACGGCAGCAAAGTTGTGGCTGAAATTGGAGAATCTATACATGACGAAGTCTCTCACCAACAAACTTTACCTGAAACAGAGACTCTACACCCTTCGTATGAACGAAGGTATGCCTCTTAAGGAATATGTTGATAATTTCAATTCTATTATTATGGACTTGAAAAATACTGATATTAAAATTGATGAAGAAGATCAAGCCCTAATTTTGTTGTGTTCTTTGCCTCCTTCTTATGAGCATTTTGTTACCACATTGCTCTATGAAAAAGACACCATTAGTATGGAGGATGTTAAATCCTCACTGAACTCTCAAGAGTTGAGAAAAAAAGTATTTGGAAATAATGGAGATGAACAGACCGAGGGTCTGGTTGTGAGGGGAAGAAGTGAGAAAAAGGGTTCTAGTAGTAAGGGCAAATCGAGATCTAAATCTAGGTCTCATAAAGATACTGAATGTTATTATTGTCACCAAAAAGGGCACATTAAGTGGAATTGTCCAAAATTGAAAAATAAGAAGAAAGATAAAAAGGATAAAAAATGAGTCTAAGGATAAATTCACTAGTAATTCTTCTGATATTACTAGGGTTGCTGAGAAAAGTTCCTCGGATGTCGAAAATATTCTTTTAATTTATGTCAGTGATTGTCACTCCAGTAGTGAATGGGTTCTTGATTCTGGTTGTTCCTATCATATGTGTCCCAATAAGGACTGGTTTTCTACTTACCGTTCTGTTGATGGTGGTACTGTCTTAATTGGGAATGACAATCCCTGTAAGACTGTTGGCATAGGCACAATCCAAATTAAGATGCATGATGGTATTGTTAGACTTTAACTGATGTTCGACATGTTCCAGATTTGAAAAAGAATTTGATTTCTCTTAGTACTCTTGACTCTAATGGTTACAAGTTTTCAGCTGAAGGTGGAGTTTTGAGAGTTTCTAAAGGTGCTCTTACTATGCTTAAGGAAAAACAGAGAAAAGACCTCTATTTTTTGCAGGGCAATACTGTGACAGGCGCTGCTTGAGTATCTTCTTCAGTTGATCAAGATTCAGAAACTACCCATTTATGGCATATGCGTTTAGGGCATATGAGTGAGAAGGGTTTGACAGAATTGAGTAAACGAGGTTTGTTAGGTGGACAGCAGACAGGAAAGCTGAATTTTAGCAAGCATGGTGTCTTTGGCAAGCAGAAAAGACTCAAGTTCAGTACAGCTGTTCACAGGACCAAAGGCACTGTTGATTACATTCATCAAATCTTTGGGGTCCTTTCAGAATTCCTTCTCTTGGTGGTTCTCGATATATGTTGACTTTCATTGATGACTTCTCCAAGAAAGTCTGGATCTATATCTTGAAGCAAAAACATAAAGTGTTCCTTAAGTTTAAGCAGTGAAAGGCCATGATTGAAAAGCAGACCGGAAAGAAGATCAAGCGTCTCAAAACAGATAACGGTTTAGAATTTTGCTCAGGAGAGTTTAACGAGTTCTGCAGTAATGAAGGCATTGTCAAACACCATACAGTTCGAAAGACTCCACAACAAAATGGTGCAGCAAAACGCATGAATAGAACTCTCTTAGAAAGAACTCGTTGTATGCTTTTCAATGCTGGGTTGTCTAAAGGATTTTGGGCTGAAGTAGTCAACACAACTTGCTATCTGGTAAATAGGTCACCATCGACTGCTATTGAGTGCAAAACACCTGAAGAGGTATGGCCTGGTACTCTTGCTGATTATTTTAATTTAAGAATTTTTGGATGTCCTGCTTATGCTCATGTTAATGAAGGAAAACTTAAGCCTAGAGCCAAGAAATTTATTTTTATTTGTTATGCATCCGGGTGAAGGGACACAGGTTGTGGTGTTCTAATCCCAAGTCACCTAAGTTTATTACCAGCAGAGATGTTACTTTTGATGAGTTTACTTTACTTCACCTGAGAAATGAGTCTTTTATTACAGGTGAATCTCAGGGTGTTAAATAGCAGGTGGAGCATGACTTTAAAGTTCTAGAAAAACAAGTCAACACTCCAGTTCAGCCCGATGTTGAAGAGGTGCAGGATGATCAAGTACCAGATGAGCAACAATACAGTATTGCTACAGGGAGACAGAAAAGGCAGATTAAACCTCCTAAAAGGTATGCTTATGCAGATTTAGTTGCTTATGCTTTGTTTGTGGCAGAAATTATTGAAGATAAAAAGTCCTCCACCTACCAAGAAGCTGTTACAGGAAATGTGATGCCAAGTGGACTGTTGCTATGACTGAGGAGATTGAATCTCTTCACAAGAATCAGACATGGGAATTGGTGAAACCTCCTAAAGGCCAGAAGATTGTTGGTTACAAATGGGTCTTTAAGAAAAAGGAAGGAACTCTAAGTATTGAAGATGTAAGGTACAAAACACGTTTGGTGGCAAAGGGTTATAGTCAAAGAGAATGTGAAGATTTCAATGAAGTATTCTCACCAGTTGTGAAACACACCTCTATCCGCGTGTTGCTTGCTATAATTGCTCTATTTGACTTAGAGCTTGAGCAACTTGATGTCAAAACAGTTTTTCTACATAGTGAGCTTAAAGAAGACATTTATATGCATCAGCCAGAGAGGTTCGTTGTTCAAGGAAAGAAAGACCACGTTTGTTTGTTGAAGAAATCCTTGTATAGTTTGAGCAATTTCCAAGGCAGTAGTACAAGAGGTTCAACACTTTTATAGTTGGACATGGCTATTTGAGAAGTAACTATGACAGTTGTGTCTACTATTGGAAGCTCTCAGATGGTTCTTTTGTATACTTGTTGTTATATGTTGATGACATGTTATTGCTACAAAAGACATGTTAGAAATCAACAAGTTAAAATCTCAATTGAATACTGAATTTGAGATGAAAGATCTCGGTACAGCAAAGAAGATTTTGGGCATGGAAATTCAGAGGGATCGTCAAGCTGGCAGATTGAGTTTGTCACAAAAGAGTTATATTAAGAAAGTGCTTGAGCGGTTCAACATGCAGAATTCCAAGCCTGTAAGCACACCACTTGCTACTTATTTTTGTCTTTCTGCAGCTTTATCACCGAAGTCCGAAGAAGAGAAGGAGCACATGTCACGTA